CAGCTTCATTGAAAACGCTCACACCATTTGCATTTCTCTGACCTTGGAAAAGATTTTCACACATTGTGCCATTCAGTATCTTTGAGTCTCTGGTGCGCCCGGCTGAATAATAAACAGTTCTTTAAGAGGGCAGTGTGAGCTCATTACTGTGGTGATGAGCATGAGTGACACCCAGCCGTATTGTTGGTGAAATATTAATGAGCCGAGGGCGATCTCTCCTCACTTTCACACACCGAGACTGGCCTTTTCCCCAGGCCTTTAGAGTACAAGTAAGACCGTCAGGCTGTGAATTAGCACGGGTCTCACATGCATTTTGTCAATATTAATGGGAGATATTAACCTTGTCTGAAAACAACCTTAAAAAATGATGATGAAATGGAGATATCTCCCAGCTAAGAGGGCGAGTTTGTAGAATCACCTGTCAGAGGCTTCCCCTCGCACATCCTTCAAAAAATATCCGCACTAGACATTTCTAAGTTTTCATATCCACATGTGAGTTCAGAGTAATTTAGAAGATTAAAGAGAAAAATCCTCTGCCTGGCCCCGAACATGCCCACACACACACACACACACAGACACACACTTAGACATAGCAGATGAAAGAAGCTTTCACTAAATGCATCTGATACAGCAGTGAAAGTTCCACTCTTAATGTTTACTCTTTGAACAATTCATCTTCTCCCTCTTTGAAGTCAATGTAAAATGACAGCATTAATTCAAAATAGGGAACACAATGTATACAAATCATTAAATCACAATAAAAAAAAAAAAACATGTTTTGGGATTTCATGGCAAGCAAAACAATGGTATCTGAAAAATATCCAGAGGGGGGAAATAAGTAAAAGCACCAGCGCTGACCTAATGAGGCCAACAAAAACATTGATTGTGGATACAATTGCACCCCAGTATGGGATATTATTCTTTTTGATCAGCCATAAAAGTGAAGTACTTTCCAATATTATTGGAGTGTGAAAACCCGATGTAACTGTGACTATGAGTGTGTGTGTGTGTGTGTGTGTGTGTGTGTGTGTGTGTGTGTGTGTGTGTGGTGTCAGTTCAACTTCTGCCCAGTTTTTAGATTGCAAATGATTTGGGGTACCATGGCCTTGACCTTTGCCCTCAGTATATTTGTTTTTGCTTGTAAGTTAGCAGGCTTTATAGTTCAATTAAAATAAAGTCACTCTGAATAAAAGCATCAACCAAATGACTATAATATCATATAAAAAGGAGGAGATGAATGATGAGGGATGAAATGTTTTAGTACAGTAAAGCCAGATGTTTTAAATTTCCTGACATCAACAGAATTAACGTTCAGAATTTAAAGTTCAGCTTGAATATAAAATAAAGTTAAGTGACTGAGTTAAGCTCTAATGAGTGAATAGTGTTTGTTAGAATTGTGTTATGAGCATGAAGCATATGGCCTGAATGAATATCGGCTGTGTAAAGCTCAGAGGTGATAGACGTTAAGCCTCTGGGGGTTTAAAGGGTTCTGCAGGGCAGCACGACACAGCCTGAGTGCTCCGAATAACACTGAGGCACCATTTGGGACTTGTTTGCTTAAAGAGCTAAAATGTTGAAGAACACAAATGCTGCACGAACAGTAAGTTTGAGTACAAATCTGTGACCCTCTATTATTATTTTACAATCTCGATAATTCTGTTTTTCTTGTTGTTCTATTTTTCTTCACATCATCTGTGATTTTTGTTAACTTTATGCATTTTTCCATCCACTATGACAATGTACTTAACCTGCTGATACTGAAGTAAACTTTTACAATATGGAGTTCAGGTCAGAATATGCTGAGCTTTGTGTGCCATGCATATCTTCATTTAAGATGCCTTTAGGTGTTATAAGTTAGGAGGGATATCCTAAAAGCTGTGACATCCCAAAGGAGGACAAAACAGACGCTGTAGTCCTTTACATCAACCAGCTCAAATTCACCATGAAGTCCTTGAGGAATAGTAAATAAACATAGTGACTGACTGGTTCAGATCTGTCATGGCTGAATGCAAATTAAGTTAGCCTAGATTACATCCATGAATGAAAATGTTATTATGCATGTCACTTTTTTGAGATTAGATTTAGACTATTTTCATGCCAACATGGAAACAAATGGGGGTGATTTGTAGGCTGAACGCACACAAAAACATCCACAAATCCCCTCTGAGGGTCTTCCATTCACAAGTTGTAACTGAATCCCATGTTTTCATCGTATGTTCAAAGAGGGGCAAAAGTTGAGGACAATAAATTCTGAGAGAGATGATGATGAAATGATGGTGTAACCCTCACTAACGTGCCATACGTGCACTTGGCATGCAGCATAGACTTTTCTGACTTCTGGGCTCATACACAATATTCAGACAATGAATTTGAGTGTCAACTGGTGGACAGCCTCGTCTCGATATAGAACATAGTAATAAGTATCTCATATGTATCTAAAGTCCAGTTTGAGCCAACGTTTAACAGACTTCCTTTAACTCACCAGTTGTTACGTTTGGTTTTAACAACCTGGAAAATTTTGATTAACCAAATTTGGTTCTAAGATTTTGAGCCCATTAGATTACCTAAAGCAAGAGGGAGAGTTGAAGGCTGTGTAATTTACACATTTTACATCTTTACCTAAATAATGAGAAAGGAAATTGTACTTGATAGTGGAGACAACGGGGAAATGCAGCAGTGCTGTCATGAACACCTTGGATTTCTCTCATGATGCGCAAACAGGAAGCCCTCGGTGGACCAATTAATACAGACAGAGAGAGCAGTCAGCGATTTCCTGGGAGACCCTCCAACTTCACCAGCTACTATCTCAATCTGGTCTCCATTACAACCACATTTATCTAGATTGCATCAGGTTGCCGTTCTACAAATCTCTCAAAGCCACTCATATGGTAGCTACCATACGGTGGGCTTTTTGCTGAATAGCTCCCCTGTAACAGAGCTGTCCCTTTAAATGACTCAGATTAACACAGATGGACTTGTGTGTATCGAGTCCTACATGGAACGTTTTACTCATATTCAATATAATTTGCAGACACATCATTTGTGTGAACTCTGTTCAAAGAAGATGTTTCGCTTTGTGTGGAAACAACTCCTCTTTAGCCATTCTGGATAAAGTGATTATGTGCAATCAATTCAAGTTAGATGTTTCCCGACTTTCACCCAATACACGGACACACTGCTCAGTGGACAGCTCTCTTAGAGGCTAGCCTGTAGTGTCCCATCAATATGCAAATTCAGCAAAACTGTAAATAAAAACCATTGGTTTTGGCAAAATGATAATGCAACTCAGCAAATCAGATGGAGGAATGGTTAGGCAAGGAGGGGTGCAGAAAGTGAGGTGGTAGGAAAACAGCAGGTATGGAGAGAGAGAGAGAGAGAGAGAGAGAGAGAGAGAGAGAGAGATGCAAATCCCATGGCAACAGCAACCAGAAAACAAGTCTAAAATAGGGGGCAGTGTCCGCTATTACTATAGCAACAGGAGAAAAGCACATTCACTCAGCGTCAGGATTTGCTGAAAGGAGAAAAACAAAGCTTTATTCCTCACATAATTGTTATTGACAGTCTTTCCAAGTAAATTAATTTGGATCCGACAGCTGTGTCTCACTAAATTATCCATGAAACTAAGGATTATCAAAGTACATTAGGATAACAGTCAACAACAAAGAGTGAATAATCCAGCTCCCATTATTCTCAAACTCTGTGTCATTTCATCAGACAATTCCCCCGGTGACGTTAATATCCATATGAGCTGACAACTATTGATTAAATATGTCAAAGAAGAAACTGAAATCATGATTTGACATAATTACAATACAGTAAGTGCAAAGTAATAATACAGACAGACTGTATGCCTTTGATGACAACATGAATTCCTATTATAGAGTATCTTTTAAGTCTTTCCATGAATGACACTCATTTGCTCAACTGTCTAACCAGTCAAACAGACTTGACCACCACAAGCTCTTCTGTGTTTAATGGTGTATTAATGAGCTTTGTAAAACTGTAACACAAAAAAAAGTAAACGCTTTTCCTCAGCTCTAAACTCTGCAGCACTGATATCCACGCCCGGTTTGTTTACTTGAAACATGTGCACAGCCTGCAGTGCAGGAAAAAAAAAAGAAAGATAACAACACAGCGATGCTCTTGCCTTGCCTACCGTCGACCAATCAGATTTCACCTGTAGCCGATTTCAACCAATGGCAGAACGGCAGTCTGAGCACGCGCAGCCAATCGCTCTGAGCGTGGATCACTGATGCAACGGAGATGCAACAGACTTTCTCTACTGAACAACAAAGTGCGTTTTGAATCAAATAGTCCCCCTCCAAAACAATACCATCATGCCACATAGTAAGGTACAGTCTCTGAGCTGTATTGGTGTGTGTTTGAGAGCCGTGTTCACTTAAATCAAGCCTATTAGCAGGTGATGGAGTGATATTTAAAGCAGCGGTCTACGCCGTCCAGCCCAGAAACTGGCGGCACTGCCCCGTCTCTATAGCAACAAAGGGCTAAAGAAAAAACAATGACGAGAGCGTTACAGTCATGTGATTACTTTTCGGATTACTACCGAGATATAAACACTAAAACAGCCCCTTCCGCTGGGACATTTCCCTGTTTTATTGAATTAATTATCCTCAGATAGTAGCAGGTAATTTTTACTACATTTAAATTCTAACTTAATTTTGCAAATAATGCTAAATTTCTGCCTTTATATATATATATATTTGTTTTTTTCTTCTTCTTTTCACTCAACAGCAGCAACGTTTATGAACGTGAAAGAAACTGCCATGACAACTAATCATTAAGTACTACAATGAGAGTCGGTACTACTTTTGAAAGAAGCATCAAGGAACGAGTAACTCTACTTTTTTATAACGGAGCCCCGGCAGTGAGTTTGTGGGATGTCCTTCGGTGAGACGCGGCGGGTGGGGGCGGAGGGATCTACGCTCGGCAGCACGGTTTGCCCCGGTGACGCAGTCGGTTGCTAGGTGTGAATGAACTGATGCTTTCTCACAATTAAGCAGCGCCTCAGTTTACAGGTCGGACACAACAAAGCAACAACTCGTCTCTTTTTTTATTTGCGCTGCCCCGGATATTCCGAGCTAAAACATGGCTCTTTAAACTCGTGAAGTTGTTGGACCCGAGAAGAAGTCGTGCTTTGCTTTAGCAACGCACCCCCAAGTGCTCTACATTTTTCTCTGCAATAATGGAGTAAGTGGAACTGTCTCTACTCGCTTTATCCGTTCAACTGTGTAAAGTGTGTCACTGTGTTGTTGTTACAGTTACCAGCTTGTTGTGCCTGCTTGTCACAAGTGGTTACAGTTACAGTGGTGTTTTGCCTGCTTTCTCTGCTTTATACAGTTTATTCTTTTTTTAATATCTTCATATAACTAGATATAACATGTGCTTAAATTCCAGGCTTCTTTAATGGCGTTGTGTCCGGGGTTTAAGTTGATTGTGGTTGTTTGGTTGGGTTGTGATAAAAGTGCGTGGCAGAGTTAATAATATCAGAGCTGTGTTATTGTGTGATGGCATTATGGTAACTTATATATCATATAAGTGTACCACCTCCAGTCCATCTTCTGCACACTGGAGATTCAGCGTCACACTTTCATTTGTATGTTTACACAGATTATCATTTACATTCACCTAAACTGCTTAAGTGGTCAGACAGATGTGTGATTACTTTGAAAGGAACATGCGATCGGAAGCAGCTGATCTGCATTAATCCGATTTAATGATCAGAGTCTCTGAGATAAAGTCAGTGCTTCTTGGCAACAGTTGGGCCGTTGAAGGCGTCACCAGGTCCCACGTGTTTTAAGGACGTCAAGTGCATTTTGCTTTGAGGCAGGTCAAAGCCCAAAGGACACTGCTCCCACCTCTGTATCATTGACTGTGGCACTTCTGAGTGTGGTTTTTGAAATAGTTGATTTTAAATTATATTTTTATTTAATTGGTATTATTTGTGTTATATATTGATATATTGTAAAAGATGCATGTTGTGGAGAGTTAATGTAATGTTAATGTAATGATCCTTACATGTTGACTTGCAGGTGATTTCCTTACTGTAGCCCCTCCGTCAGCAGACTGAGTCATGTTGAGAAACTTGCTGAGGGCAGCAGTAGTGATATTCCTGATCCCATCAGTCGACTGAATGAGTTGCATCTTTTTATCAGCACATTTCTGATCTGTTTTCTGTTTACCCTCTAGGTTTCATTATGCTCACCCAGCCCTGCTCTCTGTGGCCCATCTGTCAGACCCTGCTTGCTCTCAACATATGTTTGGACTTGGACTGAATCAAAGCACCAACAGACAAAATGATGGCAACATCAGCTCCTGTTTGGAAGACTCTTCGTGTCTGCCCGGCAGACCCCCTCGCTCTCTCTCACCCACAGGCTAACCACAGCCAATCACAGGGGTGCAGGGGGGAGGTGTCAGAGGAGAGTCAGCACTTAATTGGTGAGTTGCAGCGAGTACGCTTTTTTATATTTTTCCCCATTTCAGGTGGGCTCGGCACTGCAGCACATTCGTCCTTCTTGAACAGTAAGTAATAAACTAGCTACGTCTTAATATGCCGCTATGCTGCAACTATATATAGAAAAAAAAAAATCATGCTTTGCATTTACTGTCGTCGATCAGATTTTGCCTTTAGAAAAATGCTATGTGCAGTGTTGGGTGACTGCTATTTTTTGTGACATTTGCATGAACGTTATTTAGCTGTAATATTTTCCTCCACCAAACAGCATGTAACGACTGCATTCATTTTCTCTCCTTTATAGGTGATGGTCTCACTGACTGGATGACGGAAGAAGTGGATTTCTCCTCGTACCTCCCAAACCCTCCTTCCCCTCCCTCCTCCACCAATGCCTCCCTTCCCCCTTCACCCCTTCAGAATGATATCCAGGTGCCCTCTGACTTGGAGGTCATGACCTCTCTGCTGCAAGAGGAACTCGCCCAACTAGAGGACTACTTCCTGTCTGAACCACTGCCAGAGAAAGGGCCGAGGCTGGGAAAATGCGACAGGGGTCCACTGCCGGCGGGTCCTCAGCCGTACAGTCAGCTGCCATACGCATCATACTCTACATCCAACCAATCGGAATCCAGCCCACTTCTTGTTACCCTGGCAACGGGAGAACTGGACCTGCTCAGTATCTGTGGCGGGCCCATTGGGCGATCCAAAATTCCAAGACACGCCCCATATAGCTGCAGTCGCCCCAGTGGGTGTGGTAGGAAAAAAGTTCCTGATGGTGTGAGGTTCAGTGAAGGCTACGATAACAGTTTATTGAGTTCCAAAGGAAGTAACTCAGGTAACTCAGCGGTGACCCTTACAGGTAACTATGGCTGTGTAGAGGACGAGCAGCTGGTAGGGAAAAGCTACTGTCTGGGTAGTGCAGTCGAGGTCAGAAGATGTGCCGTTCTACCGAAAGAAGAGAAGAATTGCTGTTTCAGTCAAGATGTCATAGGTGGTGCAAAGGTTGTTGGTGGTGGATTTGGCTTTGGTGGATCACTTGATGTCCCACATAAGAAAGAGGATCTGCTGATGTATAGCATGAGGGAGGTCAGCGGAGGCACTGGCAACAACGAGGTGCTGAATAGTATCAAAACTAGTGTGGAGGTGACAAAAGCCACTGTGTCTTGGAAATCAGAGAGCAGCGAAGGTTGTTACCTTCCAGCAACACCGCAGTCTGAGGCCTATCATAGCTTCTTAGGCAACATCAACGAACAGGTGAAATCAGAGAGTCTACAGATAGGGCAACATGATTTACACTGTAATTTCCTGGAGGATCAGGGCCCAGAGTGTCTTTTAATGTCTAGGGAGAGTCTGAACTTGGAGTCTTCAGGGCACAGACAAGCATGCAGGCTGAAGGAAGACAACTGTGATTTGCAATACGATGTGGACATCATCCCCGCTGAAGGCGGCGAGCGCAAACAGAAGAAGAGAGATCAGAACAAAACTGCCGCTCACAGGTAAGTTTTAGTTTATGCTCGACGAAATATAACTTTTGACGTGATCTGACAGGTGAAGAGCTTCATTTAATCTTTTTCTTGCCTAATGCAGGTATCGCCAGCGAAAAAGGGCGGAGCTAGATTCTTTGGAGGAACAGTTGCATTGCCTTGAAGGGAGGAACCGGGAGCTCCGGGACAAGGCAGAGTCGGTAGAACGAGAAATCCAGTATGTCAAAGACCTGCTGATTGAAGTTTACAAGGCCCGCAGCCAAAGGCACAAGCAGGACACCACAGCATAACACCAAGCTCCTGCAAGTACTCTTAAAGGGGGCGGAACAGGGAAAATGTTGGTGTCTTTAAGATTGTTAATTTTTTTTTTTAATGGCGGGCGGGGTAAATGCATGCTTTGCTAACGTGAATTATTTTTTACCTTTTAAACCAACACCCCTATCCAATGCTTCCATTGCTTTCGCACTCTGATCACTTGAGCGTGCACTGTGGCATTCCAATGCTTTAAATGACAATCATGTTTAATAGATCTCGCACTGCGTGAATCTACTAATTGAAACACGGTTATTTCTGAAGAAGTAATGTTATTCATTATGCAGGTTTAATATTTTTAATAGCCTTACATTGGAATTGATGTCAGCAATAGAATTTATTATTGTTTTTTTATTTGTTTTTATTTGCCATGACATTTTCAGTAGTTGAAGTAGACAAATATGTTGTTGTTGTTGTTGTTGTTGTCCACATGTGAAACAGCATCATTTCATTTTGAGCACATCTTTCAAACCTCCCTTGAACGGCAGATATTTAAAATGCTATGAATATTTTAAAATATTGAAATTGCGGTTGAAGATGTATTGACTTTAACATTGCGGAAAAGAACCGCTGATATACAGAAGAGCAAACAACTTTTCGTCATCCACCTTAGCAAAAATCGACCATTTTTATCATTGACTTCAGGTTTAGTGCAGCCCTAAATAATCATTAGTTATTCTGATTCGTACGTTTTGAGCATGTAGTTCTTTTTTTCCTTTTTCGTTTTTCTAAAGGTCAAACATCTACATTTTACCCTGCTTTGTTAGACACGTTACTTTGTCTGCTGTATTTACGTTTGTTTTATTTTCTGGATTTTTGTATAATTTTAAAAAACAAATTACTTATTTGTTTCCAGCAGCGATTAAAAATAATATCCAAATAAAACATTCTGTGACCAAAATAGAACTTATTTATCATTTGCACTGTTTTGAAGGTGGAAGCATTTTATTGTGTTTGTGACGATTTGTAAAACTGTCTTCTTTTGCATATTGCAAATTAAATTAATCAATTTTTGCAGCTCAGGATATGCAATTTGTCCTCCAGTCCTACAAATGTCAGTGGATGATTGAGACTACTGTCCTTTTTTATTTCACTGCTACTGACTTACAAATTTTCCTGTTTGATGTAAAAAAAAAAAAAAAAAAGAAGAAGAAAAAAAAGGCTTTCCTTATTGTACAAATATTGTAACTTGTGGAGATTTAGCAGCCTCCTTCTGCATGTTTTACCATTAACATACTCTCTCTCTCTTGGAATAGAAAATGTAGGATTTTAGAAACAGGTCTGAGATTCTTTCTCTACACTGCTTGTTAAGGCAATAAGTTTTATAGGCCTCTGGCTGATCTGCACTAATTTGTAACAACTTTTGTATGTTCAGGGAGCGTGTTAGTCTTTCCTTTGTAGAAAATGAACTGGAAAAAAAAACCTCATTAGATTATTTGTTGAGGCTTTTGCAGTGTTAGCTTTGGTGTAAGAGGATACTGTCTGAGTTATTTTACAATTAATTTGTTGCTAAGCAAATAACCACTACTGTTACTGCCTATACCGAGGATAGATTTCTTTCTATGCATATTTATTTTAGACAATCTTGGATATGAGCGCTGACTTATAGACATGTATTTATAACGTTTGTCCAGCTTTTGGAAAGAAATTCATGTCACATTGTTTGAACCCCCCTGCGGTGTACTATCAACTCCGATTGTTGAAACCAAAAATGTGTGATGACAGAACATTATAACGCTTTGTAATGTCAAGTTCATTTACTCATATACGCATATTTACTTTGTGTGATGTCAACTCTTTTTTTTTTCCTTTAAAAAAATAAAGTGTGTCTCCAACTCATTCCGGTGTGATTCTTCACTGTCTGTCTCTCCCAGTCGGGGAGAGGACAGGAAATGGTTTTCACTGTACCGACTGTTTTAATGATCAGAAATTACAATCTAACTGAGCTTGAAAACAACTCCTGCCTTTTTTTAACTTAATAAATCTTTTTTTTTTTTTTTTTTTAAACTAAAGTGGAACCTTCAGGGCCTGATGGACGCCGACAAGCGCTCCTTCCAGATCCGACCCCGCGGCCCGGACGCTTGGGAGCGACAGATAACTTTTATAATTATTATCTTTATGAACCCTTCTGGTTGAGTCGATGTTACCCTGCAAAATGAACGATTTAAAAAAAGGAATTAATTCAACGTCTAAACCTCCGGAAAATGCCTGTCTGCTGTTGGAAAAAATACTGCTTGCAGTGGCCCGACAGTTCAATAAATCAAGTTGCTACATTTTATATTGCGTAATAAAAAAAAACTAAAATTTGCCTCAAAAGGCTTTAAAATCCTAAAACTTATGACGCCATCAATTCTTACGACCATACTTACTCAATTTGTATAACGAGACACATCAATCTAAAAATCAATAACTTGCACTATACTTAAAACACAACATCTACAAACACTACAACCTGTGCTGCTGTGATAGTGGAGACAGATTTCTAATACAAAAGTTAATTCATTCACCTACTTTCTGCTCCCATAACCGCGATTCGTGACTATTACTGCGGAGTAGGAACAGTAAAAGGAATATTTCCACTAATTAAATAGAAACTGCCGTCCTTTATGCGGAATTTCGATTAGTTATATTCTTATGTAATTTGAACTGATGTCATAAAACGAAACATCATATAATAGTAATGACAGACTTGTTTTTCAACACACAACCACAATATTGGTGCCAACAAAGATTTTCATTCAGAAAAGTGACTTTTTATTTGTGACATTTTCATTCTGTGTTTTGTTAAAAAAAAAAAAAACATTTTAAAATGTTTACGAAGGAAAATAATTAACAGGGGATATGATAATTGTCTGTAGTCCTTGAACACACTATTTAAGAGAGTAGGAAGTTGTATTGTAACGTAAGGAAAGAGGAGAATTCTTTACACATGGCATTAAGATCTGATGTCCTTCCTGGTGAACTGGACTCACAGTCGTTCAATGAGCCGATGATAGTCACATTGTTGAGGTGTACGTTGTGAAGCCTGAAGAAGTTTCTTACTGGCATCGAGGGAGATCAGGACCTTCAAATAAATGCAAAAGAGAGTGACTAACCTGGAAATATTTTTCATTTACACCTGTTCAAAGTGCCAATATGCAATGAACTATGAGCAGTGAACAAATGTATGGAATGAATGAGCTCAGGGCAATGCTGCCGATGAAGAGGTTAGCCCTGAAGGCATTAAAAGGAAATCATTTTCCTTCATAAAGAAACTAAATATTCTCTTATAGCCAATTAATTATAGTTAGTCATATTACATTAATTATGTAACAATTACAAAAAGCTCTTTCTAACTTCATTCTAAAAACAGAAACAGACTCATTGTAATGCTGACACCTTCCCTCCTGTTCATCTCATTACCTGACGTATCGTGTCCTGCTCGCTGTACAGGCACAGGGTCGCTATGGCAGCTTGTCTCACTGCATTATGGGAATCTGTGCATGCAGCTCTAAGGAGTGAGCTGGGCACATCTTCCTCCAACAACAAGGACGCAGCCCCATCAACATATACCAGGTTTCCCAGGGCTGCGCAACAGTGCCGACGCGTGAGGGCATCTGGGTCAGTGACAAGAGACGCCAGCATGGCTGCCGTCCTCCTGGCTTCCTCTACCCACTCGCGCCCCTGCTCATCGTCAACTCCCTGTTCTACTAAAGTTGCCAAATGTCCTGTTGCTGCCTCACTGCGTTTATTTTGTCCTGTCTCTTTGCCCCACCCTGCAGTGTCACTGCCCTTTCCTTTGAACCTACCCATTTTAAACCCTGCCGCAATATATCCCAACCAGTTCCCGATTGCCCTGCAAGCCATCCGCCGTACAGGCGTGCAGGAATCATGAAGACACTCGATCATGCTTTTGAAAATGTCAGGTTGCAGGGTGTGCAGTGTAGGAGGCCTGAACGGATCTAAATGTCCCAAAAGTCTGCATGTGGCAGCCCTGATCTGGTCATGAGAGTGAGCCAGCGCCTGGTGCAGCACTGAGGCTTCCAGGTGAAGTTGAAGGTGGGCGGGCCGAGGGGAACAGCGGGCTTCTTGGGACAATAGAGTTAGGAGCTCCACGGCAGAATCCCACAGCACATCCAGCTGCAGCAAGTGAGCGAGCAAAGAGCTGGCAGTTCTGGTTAGCGGAGCTGGGTGTTTGGAGGCAGTGAGCTGGCTGTTCCTGGGTGGCGCGAAAAAACCACTAGCAGCTTTTCTGAGGCAGGGAACTGAGCGCTCTGGGTCACACAGGAGCAAACGGCTCAGCAGGGAGAGAGGCAGCTCCAGGAGCGGAGGAGGAAGAGTTTGAATTACCTGCCAAAGCACGGAAAAACAAAATCATCCAGACAACTCATCACAGATCAAACAGCTAACAACAAACAACACAATACTCTCACAAGAGACATTAGGATGTACAGTAGTGTGTGCCTGATGTGAGCCTGTTGCAAGAGTTATTCTGTGTTGCATCAGAGAATTATATTTATCAGCGAGGTCTTTATCGGAGCATGGAAAGGCCCTAACCTGCAGGAGGCTTGTAACAATACCACAACTGTCGTACAACTGGAAAACCGTGGACATGGTGTGTGGAGGCAGGTCCAGGGCGAACGGAAAGCACAACAAGTGGCAGCTCAACACGGACAGGCTGTCGTGACTCAGATCCAGCTCAAGTCTCTCAGGACTGAATCCAGCAAACAAATGAAGACTGTGGGGTATAAAAGATGTTATTGTTAGCTCCAGGCGTAGTAGCTGTGCTACTCTAAGATCGGCGGTACAAATGAAACAGTATGTTAATTAGGAAATCTGAATACCAACCAGTCAGTGCCAAGCAGCCTGCCAAGAGTGTATACACACTTTGATTCAGAGTCAGAAAACAGAGGAATGCACGAGTATGGATCCTTGGTGAAGACGAACAGCGCGGTAGACAAAAAGGAATACAGCCCTGATGTTGAAAGAAAATGAAAAGTAAAAAACATGCACAAAAGGGTTTATAATATGGAGGGCTTCAAAGAATACGCATATTTACCATGAGCCGAACAGAAGTCTATGTCTAGTGCTGTCTTTGATAGTGAAGGACCAATTCTTTTCCATAGATCCAGAAACATAACTGGATCTAAACATGAAGATCCAGAGCCATTTTCGTGCTGTTAAAAGAAAAAAAAAAAAGCTGTCTTATCCCCATTATCCACCCAGTCAAATGTTTTAGCAGTGTGTAGTTATTGTCTGACCTCAGAGAGGGTGTACAGGAGTAAAGAGAGGATGCCATCACAGAGTCCCCAGCCAGAAGGAAGAGAAAGCTGAGGCTGATGAGGCAGAGGACACAACGGTGAATCACTTTAAACTCACAATTTGCAGAATATGCAAATGACTTCTCACAGATTCAGTACCTCATACGAGTCCAAAAGCAGGTTTTTCATCAAGGAGGTTAGATTGTCCATATCAACCTGGACCTCAACATCGTGTTGTGTTAACAGAGACAAAACAGAGGCAGCTAGAGGCTAAAGAAAAGATCACAAAATCAGCTGTGTCACATAACAGGCAAGCTAACTGTAAAACTGTGTGCAGTATATGCTAACGCATACTTACTGCCAAAGGAATGAGGTTTGGGTGACTGAGAATTGTGATGAAGGGCTTGGTGAACTCCAGTCCCAGTTCCAGTCTACAGTAAGAGAACAAATGATCAGCTGCCTGCAACAGTTGATTGACTGTGAAGTAGTCATTCATTTGTATACATACAGCACTCAAAAAAATCAACAAAATCAGCTTCAGTGAAGAAAAGGAAAAATCAAACCTGTTTTCTTCTTCCACCCAGTCACTGTGCTTCTCCCAGTAGATCATGAGCACAACAATCATTTCTCCAAGCACTGGCACACTCCATGGTTGCTTTTAGAAGAATACAAAAAAAAAATACAAAAAGGTTAGGAATACTGTGGCAAGAATGATGTATTGTTGAAGATGCCCCATTCATGAGCTACAACCTTGCTGGAAATTGAGTTTTCTACAGTATCGTGGATTAGGTCAAAGAGGACATGGGGTAGCCCAAGTTCCCGGCGGATTTGGTACGACTTCTCAAGGTCAGAGGTCAGAATCAGGTTGTGTAAGACCTTCAGCGTTCGGTGAATTTGCCACGCTTCTTTAACCACGCCACCTGTTAGCTGACCAAAACAAAGAAAGAGACTAAATGCAAAATAACTGTAGAATCCATTTATGCTCAGTTGAAAGTTGTACCTAATTACCTGAGCTTTAAATGTCAAGAGCTTGGATTTAAGTTGAGGTATGATGGCACTGTGGTTTAACACTTCTTTCTCCTGCCTGCTCGGGTCTGATTCTTGTGCCAGTTTCTCCCAATAGTCCTCACTGTCAACATCCTGAGAGAACAAGGAATTATTGATACTGTACAACACATTTTCCTTGAAGAAAGCAACCAGTTTCTCTATTATCAGGACCGATTTGCTACTGGAAGTATAAACTCCCTATTATAAAACACATTTTCTAAACGGACAATGTATTAGTACCACAATAAAAAGCAGCTGACACCAACCTGCCTGTGCAGTGTGATCTGACTGTCCTCACTGCATCTCCGCACTAGTCGTGGTCCAACCTCTACAGAGGGGAACTCCTGTTCATAGTCCCTGCTAATCTGACCCCTGCAGAGGATGTGCACATAAACTGTTAACACCTCAGTCTGCTTGGGTAGTATATTATATACTTATCCTTAACTTCCATAAACACCTGTTTTTTGATCTCATGCAGGCTTGACTCTTTGGGTTGAGGCTTTGATTGGCAGCTGTCATGGGTTTGGCTCGAGGAGATGCCGCCGCCACGGTAGAGTTGTCCCTTTCATTTCCCACTCCATCCTTCTTTTTCTGTTAATGTACACAGAACAGCTTAAAGCTCCCCCGTGAATTTCCATGTGACTAATCTAAGAATGAGAAATTGATTTGTGACTGACTTTTACACCGTCACTGCCCTCTGGTTTCCCCCTGTTGCTGTTGTCCTTCTGCTCCCTGGCCTTTCGCAACAGCCTGCTCTCTCCAGAAGTCGGCACCGTCTTCGCTGCCACTTGCTGAAGTTTCAGCGCCAGCATATCTGGGCTGGGCGTGACTGTCAGAGGGCTGAAAACACTTGTGTCTGACAGCACTGTGCCAACACATCAGTGTGGGAATAAAACTGTCAAAGTTACTGAGTCATCTTAAAAACAGACCAGCATCATGCATGTTTGGAAATGTTAAATTAAGAGTTATAAGCATCACCTGGAACACCATCGGCAACAAAGGGATGGTGCAAGAGGTCTGGCCATGACAACCGCTTCTGAGGGTCTTTGGTCAACAAACCTTTTAGGAAACTCTGTAAGGGAAATATCAGATAAGCACTTTAATTAAGGCAATATATTCTGTTTGTCATACAATGCTGGCTTTTACCCAAACATGACACAGCATGACTAGACCGTATCTGTGCTGTACTGTACCGTGCAGGTGTCGCTCATAGTGTCAGGCCATTTGACTGGATCTCTCACTATAAGCTGCACCAGGTGGAAGATGGAGTTGGTGTAGAACGGAGGCGCCCCCGTGTGGAGTTCATAAAGGATGCAGCCCAGAGACCAGAGATCAGCAGTGTGGTCATATGGTTTCTCCTCCACCAGCTCAGGAGACATGTACAGTGGCGTTCCCTTGATAGAAGTCAGCACCAAGGTGGAGACGCTCATGGCCCTGGCAAACCTACAGCAAGATTGCATCACATATGGTTTATCTTTGAGGGAATGATTAATACGGCTACTTTTCCTTTCAAATAATCAACGTCTACCTACCCAAAGTCACACAGTTTCACCACCCCACTTTTCCCCAACAGTATATTTTGTGGTTTCATGTCACGATGAAGAATGCGATGGGAGTGTAAATAATACAGAGCTGAGACCAGCTGGCAGGCAATCTCACGGACCTTGGAAGAAGGAGCAAATGTTTATCATGCAAAACCATGATGAATCTAGTCTGTGCACTGTAAATATATATATATATATACCTGGCTCTCTGGCAAGCTCCCATCATCCTCAAGGATCTGAAACAACTGACCCTCTGCATACTCAGTTACAACCACAACCTGTTAGAAATATAGATGAGATTATGAACTCAGATGTAAAACACAATTAGTTTGGTGGATCAGAAAAACTTTATTTGTGAACAAAGATGCATTGTGTGTGTTTTTAAACAGACCTCAGTTTCAGTCTCAAAGCTGTCAAAGAGCTGGACAATATTTGGATGTTGAAGACCCCTCATGATCTCAATCTCCCTCTTGAGACTTCGCAGCTCCTTTTCAGAACGACCCACCTTTGGCATGAACTTCAGAGCCACCACCTAATGGACGTGAACAGACGGTTTTAAACGGTGTGGCTACACACGCCATTAAAACTGCCATTAAACATTAAAACATTCCCACCTAAGCTACTTACTTGGCCAGTAAATCTTTTCCGTCCTTTGTACACTCGACCAAACGAGCCCTCTCCCACCAGCTCCAAAACGTGATACGAATTCATGTCAACAACCGGGAGGCTAAACGTTAACGTTACAACGGACAGAGTGACCGTTAACGTTACAACGGACAGAGTGACCGTTGGTGGTTAGCAGTTAACGTTAAACGGGCGGTTGTTTCATTCCTTATGTAACTTAACTTACTACGTGTGTTACTTGGATTCAAAACCTGTGTACCTTTAAGCCAAAACTTATGGTTAGTAGCCTTGTAAAGTATGCTAATGTTAGTTTAGTTCGCGGTGAAGCTTACAGCTCTGTGTGTGTGTGTGTGTGTGTGTGTGTGTGCCACTACTTTCTGGATATGGAACAAACAGAACAGAGAGCAGGTCTGACTGCCGTTTTACAAAAAAAAGAAAAGTAACAAAGGACATAGTAAAGTTTAACTTGCCACACGCATATACTCAGTATTTGTATGAGTGGGCCGTTGGGAGCTTATTTTCACAACGGATAGTTATTTTAATGTTTTCTTTACTTTGTAAGTCAAAGTCAAAACTGGCTTTTCTGTGGACAACACCCACGGAGGGGTCCTTAGCCTAGCAACCGCTGTTGCGTTCCTGGCAACGGGCTGAGAACGGCAAACAAAGCAGGCGGCGAGCTGGAGGAGAGTGACCTCATCTGAACAGCCGAGGGCGCCACACCCTGGTTCATCCACTCATTTAAAATAACATACCGATGTATCAGCTAATGTGATACATACAGCTTTATAGGTAGTTAGCCTAAGTTCATTATTTAAACTAAATGTCTGTTTATCTGCCTCTACCTCTCTCTGCCTCCCACTCCACCTGTCTCTCAATCACTACAGTGGTGGAGGAAGTACAGGTATCAGTACCACAGTGTAAATGTACTCTGTAAAGTCAAACAAAATGTAATATAATGTAATTAAAAGTACTCATTATTCAGAATGACCCCATTCAGAGAGGTATATCATTATTATTATTATTATTACATTATTGATTATCATTACAGATGCAATAGATGAGACTTATTGATCCCCACAGGACAGGGGAGATTCACAAGCTGCAGCAGTGCAAGAAGCAGTCTGAAGAACATTTTACTGTTGTAGTTGGTCGACATAGAGCTGATTTTAACTACCTTCTATACTGTGGGACGGTTAGTCTAAACCAGATCAATACATTTTAAAGGCTGAAGACATGTTCTGTAAATTAAGTTTTAATCTGCAAATGAAAAGTACATTTGTAAGAGTAAAAAGCACAATACAGTCCCCTCAGAAATGTAGTGGAGCAGAAATATAAAATTGTCCATTAAATAAAAAACCTCAGCTAAAGTACAAGCAGGGCCTACTTCAAAACTCTACCGTAGTACAGCACTTGAGAAGAAGTACTTTATTCTGTACTGCATAACAGGATACATCTAATGAGCATCTTTGAATTGAATGTACCAAGTTCTATGGTTGTCCACCAGGTGTCGTACAAGATTGACGCAGAGAAACAGATCTGACCATTACGTGACAGCTGAATCACAGTAACCTAATATTCCTCTTCAGCTACAATATTATGGTGACTTGGGTCATGCTCGCCATATTTCAATATCTCCAGTATGCCTGCAGCCCTCTGATGTTCATGCCTGTGAGTTATTAAAGCTTCCTGATTAAAATGGGGGGAACGAGGACTAATCTAGCGTGTTTATCTTTGTTTATTAATTACATCTCCGCAATGTGGCCAGAATTTCCATTTTAGTAATGACTTAATGGAGTTCTGCACATTATGTGGAGTTAGGGAGGGTCTCCGTACCTGGAAGTAAGGGGTCGTATACATCACAGTGTTGGGACATGATGATAGGACTGCTGTTCGCTGAGTTTTAAGTGGCCCGCAGAAAAAGTCTTGAGTTGAGACGCGCATCCAATGAGCGCATCCAAAGACAACCCCCCTCCAAAAGAGAGATTGAGTTTCCATATTTTTACACATGACGAAAATGCATAAAGTCCACAGAAGGCAGCAGTCGACTCAGCACACACACAGGTGGAGAATGGGAATGGGTCATGACCAGGAGGAGTTTGCACTGAGAGGACTTGTACGACCTGCATTGTTTTAGAATCGTGCGCACTGGATTATGCTCTTCATCCTGATCAGTAGCACTCACCGCTTCCATTGAGCTTGCAGATTCAAAATCGTTTTGTTCTCTCTGTTGGTCATTGCATTCTTCATTGAATGCAAACATCGTCATGTTTATCAGAACAACTTTTCTCCTCTTCTATGTGGTCTCACTCTCAAAACTTGTTCGTTGCATGGAAAGTGAACTTTGCTTCCCGATTAGATTGGATAACCACAACCATGACAGGGGAGATTTTGACAACGACGTGGATATCCTTAATGGGAAGTGTGTCTTAAAAATACGAGCTTTCCAGCAGGAATTAGTGATCGATTTACACCAGGACTCAAATTTCATTGCCCCTTCCATTTCTAACCAAGACGCATTCTGGCTCTCCAACACCGATGTCACCACTGACCTGAGCCGGTGTTTTTACTCCGGATATGTGAATGCTGACCGCTATTCTTATGCTGCTTTGAGCCTCTGTAAGGGTTTGCATGGTGCATTTGGCTTCCAAGGCTGGGAATATTTTATCAGCCCGGTGCAAAATGACACCAGAAGCGCAGAAAGTGCGCACATCATCCGGCGCAGAACCAGCAACAACCTGAAGCTCAATACAACCTCTAGGTGCGCAGTGGACAGCGACATCAGTCTCCAGGTTGCGCAATCGTTGGAGAAATACAAGCGACTACAAGATTACAGCAATATGACCGAAACGATGCTGAAGAGGATGGGGAGAGCCAAAAGGTTCGCCTCGATCCCCAGGTACGTCGAGACGCTCGTGGTGGCCGACGAGTCCATGGCGCAGTTCCATGGAGATGACCTAAAGCACTACCTCTTGACACTCATGTCAGTGGCAGCGAGGCTCTACAGACACCCCAGTATCCTCAACTCCATCAGCATCACAGTTGTGAAGATCGTGATTATATCCGAGGAGGACAAAGGACCTAAGGTGTCCGGGAACGCCGCCATGACGCTGAGAAACTTTTGCACTTGGCAAAAAAAGATGAACAAAAACAACGACAAGCATCCAGACTACTGGGACACAGCAATTCTGTTCACTAGACAGGTAAAAATGCTTTATTTTGAGTTCATAGTACAGGGTCCGATCTAACAGGGGACAATGTGGTATTTAAGTGAGTGTAATTACTCACAGAAAGGCGAAAATCTGATTATCATTCCCAGCAAGTTCATTATGTCAACTTAATGTGTTATAATAATAACATCAGCAATGATAATGATAACAAAGCCATGGCGGCTTTTTGTAAATGAGGCATACTTCAGTTTGATAAGAGATGGACTTGGTTCACTAAATACTGTAGATTTTACATGGCAGGCTTCCCCCAAACCTCTCCTGCTGTGTCAGTTAATTGATGAGCTCTCAAAACACACCAGTCCACCAGTACCATCACAGCTTTGACTCTGAGGCTGGGCCACTAAGGAAATTACTTGAGCTGAACAGAGCAATAGTCTTGATTGCTCTTCATGGATCCTCAGAGGGAAGTTTTATAGACTTGGAACCCACTCCGAGTTCTCTCTGCACTCCCAAATATTTGGCCGATGACACAGGGTCAGAGATGAAGTCATTGCTCACATTCATCGGTCAGCTGTAACCAACTGATCTATGATGAACTGTCTGCCTTGTGAAATCAGGCCACTTTGATTTCATTACGACATTGAAGACTTGGAATAAAGTTGAATCAACCCTGCTCAGATTTAATTACTGAGAAAGATAATGTTTGGATATTGCTCAGTCTGCAGTCAAAGGGGCAACTGCAGATGCAATTACAGTCTCAAAGATAGAATAATAAAGTGATCAATTACCTTTGGCAAATGTCACTAACATGGCATGACACATGATTGTATCAGACCTCAAACAAATGTTTATTTTACCTGTAACTTTGCCAAATGAAACGTAACGACCCTCTCAGAAGTGTCTTGTTTCTCTCAGTCGTTCCCATTCTTCCTCCAGCTGTGGGTTTTCTAGCCCTACCCACCACCTTGTCTGCTCCTCATTAAACAGGCCCCTGAAGGGAGATGGAGGGAGGGGGGAGTGATGTAGGAGGGAGACAGGGTGGGGGTGGAGAGGGGGCTTCCTATGTACAATGTCAGAGATGTCACATCCCTCCATGTTTCTGCCCCACCTGCGCGCCCCAAGTCTGAAACAAGCTGCTCCAGAGGGCCTGGTCTGCACAGCTGCAGTCAGCCTGCACTGTTGCATCTTTACAACACGTCATTCACTTCCTCTCTCATTCACTGTTTATGCTGTAAGGCTGTTGTTGTCTGCTGTTTGAGGTTAACATCATATTGGACTGAATGAGTGACCTATGCTGCTCTGATCAGAGATTTGACAAACTGTACAAGTGCTGCAGAATACAGAAGCAGCTGCATTTACCAGGAACGGTCAAAGATCATTTCTTGTCAGTGGCTCTAACCTCATTGTGTGAAAAAGAGATTCCTGCTGATGGAATTTTTTGCCAAAACTGTGCAAGAAAAAGAAGAATAACGTCACATTGTGCACAGAGCAGTATTGAGAGTGTGCAACAAACATGTCTACACCAGGTTTACCAGCACCCATCAACCAAGGAACAGGAACTGCCTGTATTCCTGTATTAATATTTCACTTTCGCTCTCCATGCGACAAATAGTGACAATGACATATCAGCCTTTTTATATTTATTTATTTATGAATCAGAATACTCCATTCGTAAAACAATATACAAGATTGTCTTGAGCTTTCTAACATAATTTGAAAAACAAACAGAATGTCAACACTTCAAGGATTAAGTGCTCCAGTGCACTAAGTCCCAACAAATATGATAATGAAATTACCTGTTAAGGTCTTGTTTGTTCAAATCTGATCAAATTTTTACCATTACTAACAGAATATTTTATACTTTAGCTTCAGATATCAAACAAGGTGCATGTCTACTGATAACAGAGCACTACATGGGCTCAGCAAATGTCAGCAAAGGTCAAATATTCAGACAATAGTCCGTCTTCTGTTGGTGACTCAGAATTAGCAGGTTTAGTCAGTGGTTTTGTTCTGGTTTACCCTGGCTTTCAATGGGCATTTAAGGCATGTCCATTGTCTGCTGTTTACCAGCCCACAGTGTAATTTGTAGGTTTTATGAAGACCAACGCAGCGATGTCCAGAGGCAACTGTGGTTGTCTTTAAACTCTACAGCCAGCATGATTGTTGTGTAAAGAATGTTTACTCAGTTCATTAAGTTACACAGAAAGTTCATTGTATGTGAACAGCCAGTCTCCAAAAGACTACATCTAACTGTAAATCTGACGTTTTTATGTTTCCCCGGGGGACAGAGGGGGGTAGTTGTTCTTGAACTCACAGCATGTTTGCCTTTATTTACATGACAGATAATGGGTTGAGCAAGAAAAGAGTAAACCAGAATATGTCCGGATGTCATAAACTGTGTCTGTGATACTGCTGTATCAGAGCTGTATCAGTGTTTTTCCACTCCTCATAGTTTTTAATTGAAAAAGTACTATGTGAAACTCTGAGTAACATGGCAGTTATGAATATAACATTCAAAACACAAACTGTAGGCCAGATAGTAGTTAAATGCATTGAAATCTGCACACAAAATAAAATTAAAATATGTATGTGCTTAGATTGCATATTGTTTTCAAATTGCAGAAAACACCCAAAAAATGCAAAGATAGATGGCAGATGTTGGGAAGTAGGTCATAGCAAAGAACAAACTCATTGACACTGCTGTTTATTCTCCCCCTGTTCGTCCTGCAGTTTTTAGTTTTTGCTCATAAATGAACCAAACGTTCAGATGTCATCTGCACATGAGCACATCTGGACTAGATTTGCACCGGCCAACAATTGTGGTTTTGTGGTTTATTCTAGGAATGATTTGTCATAGCACTTGAGGTCTTCACTTGGCACAGTGTTTATGTGTACATTCGCTGCAGCAGAGGATTGTAGAGGCTGTGTGACATTAAACCAGTAATGTGCTTTATCTGTTATAGCTGACCACTGCTGGTGTGCTGTGTTTCTGGGTATGTAGGGACAGTGCTGTTTATAGGCCAGGCATATGGGCGGTTCTCTGTGGCGGTTACAGCCGAAGTTGTCCTGTGATTAGGAGGTTTAGCTCCAAATGGATACTCGCTAAGACTGGGGTTTTAAAACCTTGTGGTAGAGAAATAGGTCATCTGGAAACTCTGCTCTGGCATGGAAATGTTGTGATTGGGGACAGTTACATTACGTCAAAGAAGAAGGTGTGCTCTAAACACTGTTGCCCACTAACAACACTTAAAGACTGGGTGGTGGAAAGCCTCGCTTAACACTACTGAATATTTTCCTAAGCTCTAAAAAACAAATCTTAATGTAATGACAACAAGACACCTTAAAGGATAATTACAGTTTGTTACAAATTGGGTCTTTTTGTAGTATTTGGCTATAGTTTCTGTTGGTATTAATAGCACTGTACTCACCAAGTTAATTGCTGAGGTCTGGGAACAAGGTGACGTCACTAAAAAGAAGTCAGACGGGACATTAAACAGGAGCATTCGCACAATCAGACAGCTGATGCTGAAACATCCACTGACCCCAAGTTACATCACTGCACTCGAAGATGTTTCTTACAACCAGATTACAATGTTGTTAGAAAAGATGGATATGAAAGGCAAGGCTACAAATAAATGTTGGAGTTCTTTTACTGCCATTCCTTTAATTTAGCTATGACACGTTCAGATGTACTGATGCAAATTTTTGTATTTTGTCCAGGACCTGTGTGGGGCCTCCACCTGTGACACTCTTGGCATGGCGGATGTTGGCACCATGTGCGACCCCAAGAGGAGCTGCTCTGTGATCGAAGACGACGGCCTACCTTCAGCCTTCACCACTGCTCATGAGCTTGGTGAGGCCTGCCAACCCCATCCATCCTTCAATACGCATTAGTACTGTAGTGTTTACTAAAGTGTGAGTGCATATGCGGAATCACAAATGAAAGTATCACCGCATTCACGAAAGACATCTGACATCTCGTCCCCTCTCAACAGGACACGTGTTCAACATGCCACATGACAATGTGAAGGCCTGTGAGGACGTGTTTGGGAAACTGCAGGACAACCATATGATGTCTCCCACCCTCATTCAGATCAACCGCACCAGCCCCTGGTCCCCCTGCAGCGCTGCCATCATCACTGAATTCCTGGACAGCGGGCATGGTGAGTTTCCACGACCACTGACCCCCATGCTTCACTGCAAACAGCCACATAGTGTGACTGACAATCTGTTATTAATGGGGAACTTGTATAAAAACTTTTGTGGCACCGGACAGGGTTCAAGTGATGTCAGCTGCCTCAAGTGAGGTCAGCTGAGGCAGTGTCAATTAAGAATACAAGTTTGAAAATGAAAAAAATCTGGTGGTGTGGATTTAGAAACAAGTGAGATTACCAAACCTGCCCGTTGTAGCCCCCTCCTCATTTGAGGCTGCTACTAGCATAACACACCAGAATCTCCAATCAAATTGTTGTGGTCAAGTTGCACTGTCAGTAATATATGTGCTGGGTTTTGACATAGAAGTTACACATTTTTTTTGTTGAAAAAATCTGATTCTGCTGCATTGATTTTGCTACTTTTTCTTTTAAACTTTCCATCGTGTGTCCGACAGAGTGCAGTGCTAATCAGTGGAATACTCTTTTACCTTTAGGCCGCCAACAGTGTTTAACAAACATGTAGTTAGATGATGATTACATTAGGAGAGCACATACTCATTTTATTATTCACATAATCAGATCCTTCATCTGTGTGTCAGTGGATCAAGATATGACTTCCATGCAGCTGAAAAGAAGCAGGCGCTTATAAGACATTTTCTGGGTTTTATTAAATTTTTCTGGGTCAACAGACTCTTGATTTGCAATATGACTGCAATCGATTGAGGTAAATGCAAGTGAGAGCATGATTGAATTTCAGCGTCCATCTATGCTTCGAGTGTGCCTAACCTCTTATGGAGCTGTGCTCATAGAAAAGACGAGGAAAAGCCAAAAAGAAATGTATTTGGTTGGATGCAGATTGTTTGCCAAGCAGGCCAGACCACAGGACTTGGCCTTGGAGCAATGCTAAACGTTTGTTTTAAAACTGCCCCCACATCTGTCCCAAATTAGAGGGCTTGTTCTGGGGAGAGTCACCACAGTGGTTTGGACAGCGAGGTGTATCTGCCCAGTGTTTCCCATGCAGGTTTGCTCCAAATAGACAAACTTCTTTGCTTCTTTCTGTGTCCATTTTAGAGATGGTCTGAGAACAAAAGAACACAAACTGGTCCAGAGGGAGACACAGAAGAACATTTTTGACTTGACAGGGAATGATTTCTGTTTAACAATGTTATATGTTGGTTTCTTCTGGCAATCTGTCATAAATCTAGAGTTCAAAAAGCAGTGGGGAGAAAAAAAACACATGTTGCCACATGTTTGAGGCAGTTTCCATGCAGAGCTGCGCCCAAATTCATTTGTAACCTGTTCATTTCTCCACACACGCACACAATACCAGCTATTGTTTTTGATGATTGGTCTTTAGAGAGAGTGTAGGAAGGAAGAGGTGAGGTTCAGCTTATTCAGTGTGGAGTGACTTGTTTATATAGTATTGTACTATCAGTCAATCAGTGTGTTTCTTCTGCCAAATTTGCGGTAAAATGGGAGGAAACTAATTTGCCACCAGTTACAGCTCATTCCCTCACTGCCTTATTATCTGTTGTGAATTTACCGCAGCACGAATGGTATAATAAACAGTTCAAAGCAAGTGAACCCAGTTTTTCCCCAGTGCAAATAACTTGTTTTGGATGTGTAAATTCCCCATAAGGGTGAGAAGCTGTGTGTGTCTCTGAGTGATAAAAACCTCCTCCTGGAAACCTTCTCACTGACTTCTGACATTGATCTTTCATGTTTCCAAGCACCTGCTCGTCAAACTTCCTATTATCCTGTTCCTGGAAAGGTTTCTGTGTGCCATTTTTTGTAAATAGAGTCCACTCCTTTGACCTTTGCACTGCTTGCTAGCTGGATGTCATTTTGGTAAAGAGTTTAAAGCTAAGATGATTCTCCCAATGCACCAACCGTCGAATCAAAAGAGGACGGGCTTGTGGGTTTTTAGGGGGAGTTTTAGGATGGGATAAGGGTTGGGGTGGCTGCGTGAGGGGTGCTTATGCATGTGTATGTGTCTGTGTGTGGTATGCGGCATACACTGTATGCACTGCAACAAGCTGTACTTTTACTTCAAAGAGCCCAAATGACAAGGGCAATGGCTGTTTACTGCCCCCAACCCACAATCCCACCCAGCCACAACACACACACACACACACACACACACACACACACATTTAATGACAAGCATAGTGAAAATATTGATGCATAAGTATAAAATGTTTGTTTTGTTGAATAGCTGGTAAAGAAAAGCCATAAAACCACAGATGACAGTTATTATTGCTCCAGTGTGTTGCTTACTGAGTTCTCGTCTTTTAGGGGAATGTTTGCTTGACCAGCCTCAGAAACCATTGGTCCTCCCTGACGTGCTGCCGGGATCATCCTACAACCTCGACCGTCAGTGTGAGCTTGCGTTTGGAGAAGGCTCCAAACCCTGTCCCTTCATGCAACCACCATGCGGCCGTCTGTGGTGCACCGGACAATCCAATGGCCATTTGGTGTGTATGACTCGGCACTTCCCCTGGGCAGATGGCACCCAATGTGGGGATGGACAGGTCTGCGACCGAGGGATCTGCTCTGACAAACAGTCCCAAAATGTGAGGGTAAGGCTCACACAAGGACTGAGTTCTTGAGTCAACATGTAAAGCTTAACTGGAGTATAATTAAGAAGGGTCTTTGTTTCTATACTCTGCAATATGCCACCGGTTTGTGTATCTTCAGGTGGATGGCCGCTGGGGCAAGTGGGGCCCGTTCGGTTCCTGCTCACGCACATGTGGAGGCGGAGTCCAACTGTCTAAAAGAGAGTGCAACAATCCAGTCCCGTCAAATGGAGGGAAATACTGCCAAGGGATTCGGGTCAAATACCGCTCCTGCAACCTGAACCGCTGCCCTGACACAGGTACGAGTCGTTCAAAACAGACAACTATGTCCGATGACATTTTTCCCCCTAGAGCATTCCCACCTCTCACCTTCTGCACCCTCCTTCCCTCCCCTCTATGCAGGTAAGACTTACCGCGAGGAGCAGTGTGAGAACAGCGGCCGCAATTTCAACAGTAACCGTATCGCCCCTTCCGTGGTGTGGGTACCCAAATACTCTGGAGTGTCTACCGATGACAGGTGTAAACTCATCTGCAGGGCTAATGGCACTGGCTACTTCTACGTCCTGGCACCCAAGGTAAACTGCAACACTGTTTTTCCCTGAACAAATGATTGGAATTGGACAAAAGTGTGAGTAAATTAAGGTTAGATTTTTAGATATGAGATAACAATGAGTCCATGTGGGAGAACGTGAGTATATGTCAGCCAGCTGCCTCTGGTCCAAGTGCAAAGAGTGAAGGAAAGAATGAAGGAGAGGAGGAGTACAGCTCTATCAGATATCAGGGTGTGGAGTGAGTTTTAGCAGCAGTGAGACACTTCACTCCATCATACCGGCTTAGAAGAACTAGATAAGAGCACTCAGTGGACACGTAGCTCTGAATCACAGAACAGCTGGATGTTTTAACCACAGAGTCACAACTTCAAACCAAAAAACAGTTTACAATACTTTCTATGTACGGTTTAGTTTAAAACTTGAGCTGGAGTTTGGTTTGTTTTGTTTTAGCTTTTAGGTATGACACATTTTAGGGTGGAAAAATGTCAGTATCAGGGAGCTCTTAACCACAGTAAGTGAACTTATCAGTCACACATTTGCAGACAGACTAGCAGTGAGGCCAATCTGGTTGACAGCCTCTCTTCAGATACTGTTCTGTACAGAACATACAGAATAATCATTCTGCTACCTGTGTGTTGTTCACAGTTAATTATTAATGTTATATTTTATCATTTCAGTGCTTATTTTGCCTGCTTGCCTATTCATGAAAAATGAAAACATAACCTGGAATAAAGATATAAAGCAAAGTAAACTCACAGGGACTGTTATGTGAACTTTAGTATGTGTTAAATGCTCTGTTGTGCTTGCTTCTTGTGACTAAATGTTTCTGATTTCTGACTGATGTATAGTATGCATGAAAAGCTAACCTTAAAGTGTATTTGTACCCTCCAGGTTGTGGATGGGACTCCATGCTCCCCAGACTCCACAGGAGTGTGTGTCCAAGGGAAGTGCATTAAGGCTGGCTGTGATGGAAAAATTGGTTCCACCAAGAAGTTTGATAAGTGTGGAATCTGTGGAGGTGATAACAAGGGCTGCAAGAAGGTGTCTGGACTCTTCACAAAGCCAATGTGAGTAAAACCCACACATCGTCATGGGATAGCCTTTAGAGAATATTACTTCTGTCATTCCCCCACCCCCCTTACTTCAACATAACTGCATTATCTATTTCACTACTCTATCATTAGCTCTCATTGACTGTAATATGTTCTGCCATGCAGGCACGGCTACAACTTTGTGGTAATGCTGCCAGTGGGCGCAGCCAACATAGACATCCGTCAGCGAGGCTACAAGGGAATGAGGAGTGATGACAATTACTTGGCTGTGAAGAGCAGCGACGGCAATTACCTGCTCAATGGGAACTACGTCGTGTCAGCTGGGGAAAGGGACTTCATTGTAAAGAACAGCCTGCTGCGCTACAGCGGCACAGCCGGCCTCTCTGAGACCCTGCAAGCGGTGAAGCCCTTGGGAGAATCCCTGACTGTTGAGGTGCTGTGTGCAGGCCAGATGACGCCTCCTCGCATCCGCTACTCCTTCTACCTCGCCCGTCAGACCAAGGAGGACAAGACTCTGAAGAAAGAGGGGCGTGTAAACTCTCATAACAGCGTCCTGGCTGAGGATAATGTCAAGGAGAAGGGAGGAGACACCCTGAAGAAGTCTTATAGCAAAGAGGATCCTGCTCTTGGGAAATGGATATCAACAGGTTGGGATGAGTGCTCAGTGACCTGCGGCAGTGGGATCCAGAGGAGGATGGTGCAGTGTCTGAGACCGGACGGGAAGCCAGGGTTGGACTGTGATCCTTCACAAAGACCCTCAGCCACCAGGGTTTGTGCAGACCCATGTCCTGAGTGGTATATTGGGCAATGGTCGCCTTGCTCCAGAACCTGTGGGAAGGGCTTCAAGAGACGACCATTGCACTGCAAAACCCAAACTGGGCATCTGCTCCCAAGGGACCACTGCACTGGCTTACGCAAGCCACAGGAGCTGGACTTCTGTAACCTAACCCCTTGCTAGTGACTAAAACCTATAAACTTAAAATCTTTGTTATGTTTTAAATAGACTGAATTGAATTCACCTGCAAGTATCACCCCGACTGTGTCTGTCAGGTGCAGATTGTTTCACCTGCATCATGGGACACTTGCATGGAAGAACAACAAGAATATTGGAAGGAGAGGGAGAGCTGCAAGATGAATGCTGGAAGATATTTTTCACTGCCATCATACTGACTTCAGAAAACATTATCCAGGTCTAACTCTGATGGTAAAATGACGTATTAGAAGGTCAAATAAAATTTAGTTGAATCCCTTGTCACCAGATACAGAATGTGCATTTGCATTTGCATTCAATCTAGTTTATCTTATGAGCCTGGAACCCAGTTCATGTCATAATATTTGAACTGTGCAGGTTTCAAAATTTTTGTTGAGTCTCGCAAATAGATCACTGAAGCCTTCGGGTTGTCTCATTAATTTTTCAAAAAGCAAATATACCAGGATTGACATGTATAACTTTTTACAAACTGGACAAAATGTATTGCCCGTGTGCTGCACAATCCTTCACACAGAGATGGACAGTCCATTTAATGATTAACATTACATGCGATCTTCATCTTTTAGGTGTTTTTCAGGGAATCTTTTAACACATCACACAATATGGGTGGTTGTACAATCGTAGCCTTGTTTTAACATACTTTCTGTGCTACTGTTGCATCGTTTATCCAATCCAAATGTTGTTTTTTAGATCTTTTGGTTAGCTGCTATGGCAAATCATGGTTGATACAACATTGGACAGATTTCCACAGTTACAAACACTGTGTCATCTTTAACATGTTTCACTCACAGAAACAGTCAATAAAGATGCAGCCAGGATTTCTCCTTCAAAACTTTAGGAAGGAATCACCTGCACTGTAGAAACTGATTTTCTGCAGACCTCACTCAGCACCAGTCGTGGAAACTAGAATCTGAAGTCACATTGGTGGCTTTCATGACAGAAATGACTAAACAAAGCAGAGCAGGAAACAATGGCCAGTGGTTTGCTCCCTGTCAGCTGCTGGGGCCGCCAGCTCAGTGATTTCATCAGGCTGCACCCAACATTGCACTGCTCATCTGATAAATTGGCTTTGCCTGACACACACATGCTGTGTTCGATTCCTGCCTCCTGTATACAGCATGTTTGATTGCTTCCTTCATTTCCTTCATCATTTGACCACAACAATTGTCTTCTCAGTTCGTAGTGTTCAGCCATGTTAAGTCAGGCCTGTCTGGCACAGTTACCACATCTAATTTATTATCAATGAAACGATGAAGCAGAGAGGGGAAGAAAACCTGGCCCTTTGTTATGCTGTTCAGAATGTGTGTTCTCCTGGATCTCCTTGTTCATGGCCCCACAGCCTGAGCCAAGCTGTTCTTTCTACACACTTGATGAAATCCTGTAACCCATTATATTCTTGTTTTGTTTTCTTAAGGGGCCACATTGTCCAGTCCAACATCTAACTACAGGATGGATCCTTTGTTAGTTGGATTATAATTTTTTTTTTTTAAATCAGCTTTCCACTTTGTACAGCAAAAGGAAGTGATAACCTACATGGGCTGTATTGTATGCTATGTATACATTTATTCAGCTCTGTACAAAAAATAATGTAAATATTTTTTTTTATCTTTTATTTTTTACACAGGCATTTGTAATTGTCTTTGACTTCAGTATATTTATTCCAAAAATAAAGCCATTAAGGAACAGTTATAAGTAATACTGCATTTTTTTCTGTTTTGCAATGATTTGATGTCAATATTAAGGTCTGGTCACAGCAGGATTTCAAATGGTACATGTTTCAAATAGGTATTTTAAATTAACTGTGTGAACTTATTGTCCCATTAGCAGCCATTCTAAGCTAATAAACTAACAAGCATGCAAGCTGACCGTTACCAAGCTTGTTAACTTGGACAGCTTTATTTTCCCTCTTCAATAACTATGTTGAATTAAATGGTGAACAAAATGCCAGGGGGAGTGTTACGGCCAGAAATTTAAAGGCACCGTAACCTGACAAATTTAAAGCAAAATTATTATTTTACAAATAAAGCCATTTACTAACTAACTGGGAGTCTGAAGGTCTGGCCAAAAAGAACAAATTGATGGAGAAAGTCTGGGCCACCACTCAATGGGCCGTAGACCCAGAGCTTCAAAAAAATTGTAACTAAACTAAGAAACAAAAAAGCAAAATCTCAACTGCCAGACTTCCACATTCAAAGAATAAAACAAAGACATTAAGAGCAAAAGAAGCTAACAGAAGAAGATGGGATCAGTTGGCTGCTTTGGCTGGGAGAACGAGTGCTGGCTTCTCAAGCTTACCATTAAATATGGGGGCAGGGCCACCAACCAACCACCCCCAATGAGAAGCACCTGAGAGAGTGAAGAGGAAAGAAAGAAAGGAGGAAAAATACAAGGAGGGAACATCGAGTAAACAGAACAGAGCAAGAAAATAGAAAAACGCTAGTTTGATTGACTAGCACTCGCCCGGCTCGGTAGTGCATTAGTGGTTAACTTGCCTAGCAAGTAGACGCTACGTCACCAAGCTTCCAGAATCAAACATTTTGACGAGGGGGGACAGATTAATTTTGCTCCTGGTGGAGCCTTTAACGGCTTTCATGTGAAATCAACAACTGTCATCAGAGTAGGCCAGGCCTAGACAATCCTGCAGAGTTTAAATGGCTGGTACTCCCCACTGGTAAGTCAGAACTGAGGAACTCGCCCTTTTGGATGGGAGGCAAAACCTCTTTAAAACCTCAAGCAAGTCTAATCAACCTTCATTTGACTGCTGATTGATGTGTATTAAAATCTTGTTCACATATATATATATATATATATATATATATATATATATATAGTCTTTTAAGGATAAGTCAGCCAAGGAATGCTAAAAACACTAAAAGCCTTTTTTCAGTTAAGGAAATGCATAGTTTTTCCATTGGTTTTTCCCCAAAATGTATAATACTGCCAGAGGGAGAAAAATGACAGAACCCATGCTGAGCAAGCTTATAGAAAGGGTTAGCATTAAAATTAAACAGAAGAAAGAGAGGAAACAGATGAAATGTGGATTACAAAACACGTGCCAGTACATATGCCCAAGTTCTCTGCTTCCTCTCTGTGAAATATCCAAATTAATTACCAGCTGTCACATCTGCAGCTATAGTAAGTGCATAGGTGAGATGGGTGGCCAGCATGCCTTGTAGTGGTTCACTGTAGACTATAAACTCTACTTTGCTGTGCATTTGTTTCACGGCCATCATTTCAGACATGCAGCCACGGATATTTTCCACTGGTTGACGTGGACTCATTCTGCCTGTCTGTGTCTATGACCAGTCAAAGAATGCAGCTGTGTGTGAGAAGGTGGAAATTGTGAATTGTGCAATTTTGAACATGATGACTTACGCATGTCTGAGGACTTTGAGAAAAAGGTCAGAGTCTAGCATGGGAGGTCTAGTATCAGACATTTTTTTTACTTTTTGGGAAGGAAGTGTCAAAAAAGTCTGAATAGTCTGACCTACATAAGAGCAGATAGAGGAGAACCTGGAGGAGAGCCAGTGGAAATATTTATTTGTTCCCCTAGTTGCCTCTTTCCTGGGTTTACAGTCATATCTAGTTGCAGGTTTGATGGCTTTAATTGAGCCGGACTCCTTATCAAAAAGAATGTTAGGCTTCACCAGCGACTCTCAAGTGAAGTTTTTGATTTGGAAAAATAAATCTCATACACTGGGAGGCCCATGTTATATTTGAACTTAATACCAAGGAGTCATGATCTCTAACACAGTGTGTAGTTTATATAACACACACTTAGAGTGATACTAGCTTTTATGGAATAACATTAATGGTCACATGACTGAAATTCAGTTCAGTTGAGTCTTTGAAAAACAATTCTAGTTTAATTTCAATATGGGTCATTCCTATCAGTTCATTTATAGGTAACAAGTTAAAGTTAGAGTGAGAAAAACACATTTAAAAGAGAAAACAAAGACAACATTTTCACCATAGCATCACCATCTACAGACTGACTTCCTGGTCCACCTTTGCCATCCTTGCTGTAATTATGTGTGCACGCAGTTTTGTATTAAAGAATTTTCCACAGACATTTCACTTTCACCTGCCTTAAGCGATCTCTGGTGAAAATGGTAGCTTGTTTACAACCCATCTGATCATTTACCCGGGGGGTCTGAAACTGTCTTGGGGCCACTGTTGGTATTGTCACCTCATAGGAGGGCCAGTTAAACATTCATGTCCTACAAGAAAGCACAATATTCTGAAAATATCCCCATAACTTAAAAAAACAGCAATTTCAATACTTCATCATCAATAATTGTTGCTCACAGCTAAACAACAAATAAAGCCCAGAAACATGCTCTCTGCTTTACAACCCTTTGCTCATATTTGCGGCCAATTTGACCTTTGACTATTATTTTGTGCCAAACCATAGACATTTAAAGAAATATAATTGTGTTTTTATTTTAATTCTATATGAAAGGATATTAATCTGAAAGAAATAATAAATTATATGTATATATGACTAATAATCTTGACATGAGGGGAATGGAGGTTCAGAAACGCCCCCAGGCCGGCAGTTTGAGATCCCTGATTTAACTACTTGTGTTTTTTTGTCCAGTCGGCTTTAATTTTGGAGACATTGCAGTGTTCCCAGATCTCAGAAATTTCTTTGGTGAATACAATGGTATCGTCACCAGCCAAAAGTACACAAATAAAGCTCAAGTTTTAATAAATTCATTGTCCTTGGTAAAATCACTGAACCACTAACTGCTCCTTTGTACAGACCAACTCTTACCATTGAAAGAGATGACAAAAACTTTGCTTGCATGTACTTTATTTTATTTCTGCAAACAATAAGTCATGCTTTGCTCAGTAGTGCCGCAAAGACATAACTCCACATTCTTTACTCCTTTTTTATAGTTCCTCCACCAAGGAAAGGCTTACCCCTAATTAGTGAAACCATTATAAACTGGTGAAGACCTGTAAGTGATTAGGGTGAGGAGTCCAGTGACAAATTTTATATGTGGCGTCTTCTGTCTGATCAGCAGCAGATTTTAGTTTTTGCAGCTATTTGCAGAGTCAGATGGACTACACACCACAGACCATTTTAAAGATATCCACTCTCACAGAAGTGCTTTGTACGCAGTCCATGTGATTCTGAATGGATGCATGGAAAGGCCCAATGAGCAGCCTCATTAATGTGCATCTCTGAGGAGGTCTGCTGACTGCAGCAGGAACAGGATCTGTCTGCAAACAATAGTGATGACAGATCCACAGCTGACCTCTGCTCATGGAAAACTATTCTAATGATTCAGCTTAGAATGGCTGAATTAAACTGTGTGGCACTTTTTTTTTTACACATTCTATTTTGTTGTGTAGTTGTGGCTTTGTTAGCCACCATTCATTATCAGCAAGCCAAAAACTGTCTGAACACAACATCATTTAGTCCTCTACTGGCGCTACAAGGGATAGGGCTTGAAAGCACTACACTTAACCTTGTATGTATATTGTATATTTCACACAACCGGTATATTTATATAACTACATACACTTTATATTAAAGCCTGTTGCTTTCATTATAAACTATTATAGTTACAAATCTGACCATGTTTCATGTCATGGCTATTGCAGTGTAGTCCTGTTCATTGTAATTTCTGCCCTGAACTAATATCAGATGAGTTGAGAAGTACAGAAAGTTAAAAACAAAACAAATCCAAGCTTAATACATAGGATATCTAAGTCACTCACAAGTCATCCAATTTTACATGATCTTTCCCCACACCTGTAGCCATGTTTCATGTTACACTGCCTGAGTTTATAAAGTATTCTGGGAATTTTCTTCATGTCACTCAGTTTGGAGGCTACATCTGAAAACATTTGGAGGGTCATTTGCAGGGTTAGATGAACACTAGCCCTTGATCCCCGAAAACAAATGGGACACCCTATCCTTCACGGCCACACGCAAATCAGTGGGATAGAGTCAAGCGGGGAAACTGGAATTGGGTGTTAATGGACAGACATAAACGTGTTGTCAACCTACTCATCTAACTCCTTGCCAGAGTTAGATGGGAAAAATCCCACATATCTAAGAATTAATCTCTTAATCTGGGATCTATTTGTTTGCTTTGATGCTTGTAGCTAACAGCTTCATGTAAAACATTCAAACACTTATGTTGAAAGATTACTGATACCTCTGTTGTTACAGAACAACAGCAACATTTGGCTCTGATAACACTATGTGACTGTGGCTCAGCTTCAAACCAAACAAAGATGATTTGGTCACCTGTCACTGTAACACTCACCTTTGACCTTGCCTGAGGGGAAACGTATATGATGATAACTGGGACAGATAGGGTAACACAAATTCCAAAATCGGCTCTTCTCTTTCTCATTATTGTCTGCATTGTGTATTTCAAAAGTATTGTTCAAGGGTGGACATTTTTGGGCTCAATCTGAATGTCTGGTTTATAATAGCTTCTTGGAGAAAAACGTTATAAAAGCCAAAAATTATAAGAAAGGACAGAAAACATTCTGCTACAGGGAGTATTTTGGAGATTTGAAAAATAGATAAACCCCTGACTTTAGTGTGAACTTGTTTGTGTGGCATGTCTGTGTGAGGATAGGGTCACTGAGGACATTCCTTTGGCCAGAGCTTAATATTTACGAAATCTCAGAGCATTTAATAGGAGTAATGACCACTTTCGGAGCTCCAGC